ACACACACACACACACACACACACACACACACACACACACACACACAAAATTTAAAAACAGAAAAAGACCTCACAAAGGTAGAAAAGTAAATCATTGGAATATTAAATATCTTGCTGAGATGGGTGACATGGGTCTTAATTCCAACAGTCAGGAGGTAGAGGCAGGAGATTCTCTGTAAATTTGAGGCCATTCTGGTCTACATCAAGAATTCCAGACCAGCCAAGGCTACATAGTAAGACCCTGTCTCAAAACAAACAAACAAGAAGAATATTCAGTTTCTTTTCCAGTGGTGCAGGGACTGGCACTAAGACCGCATGCACACAGACAAACCGTCGATGACCGAGCCACACCTTCAGCTCATACTCAAAATATTAACACAGTGCCCCTAAAAGACAATTACACTATTAACTTTAGCCCATTAAAAACAATGTATTAATTTTTCATAAGGAAAGCTGTATTATATTAGCAGCTAAGCTATATAATCCAAACTACTTGGTCTAGATTTTTATACAACATGGTACTCAATATAAAACAGATCATTTCTCTAAACACTTAAATAATCTGAGCTATCTACCAAGCCTAATGTGCAACATATTTCCTCATTTCTTCCTTTATTTTTTGGGGTCTCATGTAGTCTAGGCTGCTTTTAAGTTCAAGTTCATTAAGTAGCTAAGAATGACCATGAATTCCTGAGGCCTACTTCCTAAATTCTAGGATTACAAGCTTCTCTCTTTCTCTCCTGTGTGTGTGCACACGCACACACACATACATGATGGGGGAGACGAGCATGTCATGACACAAACATGGAGATCAGAGGACAATTTGTGAAGTGGAGTCTATGAATTTATGGGCACACAGCTCTCCCTGCTGGGCCATCTCACTAGCTTCACTTTTAAAAGTCACCTTACGGTTCAGTTTACCAATCTCTCTCATAAACCCAGACTCTACAGACAAGCTATTAAATAACAGTGTCATCCAAATAGAACTAAAAAAGTAAAGAAAATTACTACTGCTTCATTAATCATAGTTGGCATGACCGATGCCAAATGACGCCAGTCAGTTTGAAAGCTGTTTGCTGGTTTGTGCACCTATACTGGGACCTGAACTCAGAACTTCACACATCCTGGTCAAGCACTCAGCCACTGCGCCACATTCCCCAGCAGTCCAACTTGGTATTTTATCTTTTGAGAACATTTATCATTAATTTAAAAAAAAATCACTAAAGCTGGTTTAGGAGGTGTTCTGAAAGCTACTGCATTATCATACCTGGATTAAACTCACAGAACCACCCAAAAGAAAAGTCATAACTACAGTTTTCCACACCACCAAACTGCCTCAAAGTCAATTTGCAGACCCCCACACCTTTGACAAGATTATCATCATGTATTAGGACTGAGGTATACAATGCCTATGTACAGAAATTGCTTTCTGCTAGAGATAGAATTTCACCGATTATACAGGTGACAGCTTTTGGTCATAAAATGCTAGACACCATTATTTTATGAACTGCTGAAGGAGCAGAGAACAGACCTGTGCACACTGTGTTCTGCTCACCCGCTCACCCACTGGCAGTCTCAGAACTACATACACTTGCTTCTGCATCCACGGAAATGACTATCTACAGCAGGAGACTTCATTAAGACTACATAAACTAATACTTTTCAACACCCAATAGTCCAATCAGTGACACATTTTTTTGTATGTAAACTTACTTTTTCCTACATATATGCACTTAAAGGTATCATCTGGAAGTATAAAAACTAAAAAGAGTAAGTGAGGAGCTACATATCATAGCCGGTGAAGTAGCAGGGGCACACGCCTGCAGCTCCTGCAGAAGTGAGACGGTTTACTGTGAGCTTGAGACCAGACTGCTCGATATAACAAGCTCCAAGCCAGACAAGGCTACATGACAAGACTGCCCCCCCCACAGAAGAAAAGGGAAAGAAAGACATTTCCTTAAAGCAAGATGTTTAACTCAATTCAATGCTTTAAACGCATATTTCAGATAAAACTAAAAAACAGTTATAACCACAATACATACATATATTTGAGAATTATGCATAAATAAGATCAGAAAATTTAATCTACCTTTTTTGGGTTAAAAATAACATTTTTGCTTTTTTGTTTTTTGAGATAGGGTTTCTCTGTGTAATCCCAGCTGTACTGAAACTCACTCTGTAGGCTAGGCTGGCCTCAAACTCAGAGATCCACCAGTCTCTACCTCCCCAGTGCTGGTATTAAAGGTGTATGTCACTACCACCTGGCATATAAACTACTCTTAAAAGGTATTTAGCTAATTTTTATTAAATTTCTTCATAAAACTGAATTCTAAGGGTGCTGGAGAGATGGCTCAGCGGTTAAGAGCACTGCCTACTCTTCCAAAGGTCCTGAGTTCAATTCCCAGCAACCACATGGTGGCTTACAACCATCTGTAATGAGGTCTAGCGCCCTCTTCTGGCCTGCAGGCATACACATAGACAGAATATTGTATACATAATAAATAAATAAATTTTTTTTAAAAAAACTGAATTCTAATATGTAGATTTTTAGTTAAGAAATTATGCAAGTACTATAAAACCATATTTCCAAATGAATCTTTAACAATGTAGGACAGTGGCCAAGATATGCTTTCAAAAGAAAAAACTGGACACAGATCTTTTTGCTTTGTGTGATTTTCCTTTGGTTTTTTTATAATGTGGTCTGAATCTGATGCTGAACTTGAACTCATGACCTGCTTGTCTCAGCCTATACAGTGCTGACATTCCAAGTGGATGATACCATATCAGATTAAAAAAAATAACTTTTCAACAATTCAGGTCAATTTTATCTTAAATACATAAAATTGAGAATGTCTAAGGGCGGATATCTATATTATACAGTCACTAATATCCTTGTTTTCCTGGATACAATGGCACATGTCTGAAATCTCAATACTTAGGAGACTGAGAAAGGGGAGCATAAATTCAAGGCCAGCCTAAGAGTATAGTGAGAGCCTGTCTCAATAAACAAACAACAACAGAAACATAATTAACTATGTGAATATATAAGATAATATATACATTAAAAGAAAGCATTTAAAGGAAAAGGCATAAATAACACAAGTAAAAATATATTTTTATTATAAAATGAAAATACTGTTTACTTTTAAGGTTAAAAATATATAATTTTTTAAAAAAACTATAATTATGTCTTTGAATAACAGGAAAAATGTTAAGTGTTCAATTTTGTTTTGTTTATAAAACAGCCAATGTTCTTAGCCAGATGAAGTGGTATCTGTTACAACGTAACACTCAGGAGGCTGAGACAGGAGGATCCAGGCTTTGAAGCTAGACTGGGTAACACTGGTTCACAAAGTTATTTGCAAGAGAAATAACATCCTCAGATATCTTCAATGAATAAATTCTAGTGCAACTCCAGGAAGAAGAGAAGCAGTCAAGGCTTCACTTCACTGCCGGCCAAGGAGTGCAGTCCTGCTACCCAGGCAGTAAACACAGTGCTCAGCTACGTGGGACTTAGATGTTCGCCTCACACAGCCTAAACAATTCCTCAAAGCTTATATAAAAGAAAACAGAAGGAGACAAGGCCTGGGAAGCCTGGGAACCTGGGAACCGTGGCTCTAACCTGGCTCGACTGCACGCAGCTCTTCGCAGTTCTTGGATCAACTGGCCAGTGCACTCGGGCTCTTTGCTGGCTGCCTGCAGCAGCGCCTTTCTGAAAGTGTGCCGGCATTTCTTTTGTCGAGACTCTGCCCGCTCCAGGCGGCAGAGGTGCTTGTATTTCTGCTGAAAATAAGTGCAAAGTTGGGTCACCCTGGAGCTCCTGCTCTCCACGTCCTCGTCATCCGACCTGAAGTGCAGAGAGAAAGGTGGAAACTGATTACAGGGAAGTTCATATAAGGAAGAGGAAGTGGAAATGAGTGTGGGTTGGTGAACGCACAGGTTTACAACTTCTGTGGCATCTGAACAGCAACTTAGTAAGCTAGAGAGATCCCCGCAGCCCTGAAGACAAGTGGAAAATTCAGTTGTCAGCTGGGCTGCAGTACTCAGCTCAGCATGCCTTCAGCACCAGAGCAGGGAAGGACAAGCAGTTCCTGATCTTTGCACACTTCAAGGATACAGATGTAGTACCTTCATGAGAAACAGCCACCCCAGAAACACCGGAGTCCCCTCGACCAACACTTCCTGAGAGCTTTGCCTTACACATTCTGGCGTAAATCTCCTCAGAGAGCATGTGGTGCAGGAACCATGGGGCTGCCATTGTTGCCACAGAGGCATCTGACCAGCTTTCACAGGCCAGGTGACACAGCTTCCAACCATGCTAATGGACTGCTGGTACATCTACGCTCACAGGGTTGGTATTGCCTACCACCGCCAATGGCAAAAATGGCAACTTTTCTACAGAACAAATTTGACTTTATTCTTTATTGTTTGGAACAATGCACATCACATAAGGACTGGTGTTACTTGATCTTCTTTCTCTTCTACTGTAAGTCAGTGTGAGACAGGCACTCCCAGAGACTGTAGTCAAGGCTGCTTATCTTTAGCCTCCGGTTTGCTTTTGTTTTGTTTTAGGTCAGTGCTTTATTTCCTACCAGCCCACAGCAAGCTACTCCATGCACTTCCATTTAGAATATCTCCTAGAAACACGTCCTTTACAGTATAGCTTCTACTATAAATACACAAATTAAAGGCTCATACTTCGGCATCTACTGTGGTCTATTATGCTAATCGCCAAAGGAGAGCAAAGTGAAAAGGGTTTATGATGACTTACACACGATAAATACACTCCCAGATGGAATAACGCCAAAGAGACGAGAATCAGTGACTAACACAGTGGGGAAGACAGACCCAGGCTTCACATAGCTAACACAGGGGTAACAACCGAAAGTGTACGCTCAATATCCAGGAGGCAGAAGCAGGGGTATTACCTTGGATCCAAGCCTAGGCTGGGGGATTCGTGGTGAGCCTTGTCTCAAAAAGAGGCACAGTGGCACAAGCTTGCAATTCCAAATTCAATGTTATCTTAGATTATACCCAGTGATTTCCAAGCTAGTCACAGGTGCCTAGTGAGAGTGCATCTGGGAAGGGAAAAATCTAAGAGCATCTTAAAATTTCAGATTCCCAGGACTTACTCCAGATCTACTGGGTCAGGATGTTAATGAGGTAAAGTCTAAGAACAGCAAATTTTTTAATTGTTTCTTGGAGTGTCGTAGTAGGTCTATAATTTAGCATTCTAGTCGGGCCAATTGCGCTATAAACATCCTCCTATGTATGAGCACGACAACCGTGAGCCCACGGTGAGGCAGAAAGTGTCACCGATGCTCACTGTTGGGCAAAAGGCTCAGTCTGCAAAGGAGACAGCAGCAGAGCTAACCTTGAAGGAAGTATCCATGTTAAGGATGGGAGCAAGAGAGCTCACAAACATCAAACACTACGGAGACAGGACGGCAAACGCAAGGGTTAAGCAACTGGGACTAAGAGGGTACGGAGTAGAGGGACTGAGGACAGCGAAATTTTCCAAACCTAAATGCCAAGTTAAAAGTTTACTGCAGCTGGCCAGTGGTGGCACACACCTTCAATCCCAGCACTCAGGAGGAGAGGCAGGCAGATTTCTGAGAGGTGAGTTCGAGGCCAGCCTGGTCAACAGAGTGAGTTCTAGGACAGTCAGGGCTATACAGAGAAATCCTATCTCAAAAAAGGAAAAAAGAAAGAGAGAAAGAGAGAGACAGAGAGGAATGGAGAGAGGAAGGGAAGGAGGGAGAGAGGGAGGGAGGGAGGAAAGAAGAAAGTTAATTTAATGCCAAGGCTGATGGAACAGTCCTATAATTCCAGCTACTCAAGAGACTGAAATAGGGGGATCACAAGTTCAAGTCCAGCTTGACCTGTAGAGCAAATTCTGGTCTAGGATGGGCAATTTAGCAAGACCTTGTCTCAAAATTAAGTAAAGAAAAGGTCTGACATATAGTCAGCAGTAAAACTTTTGCCTAGTGTTTAAGAGGTTCGACTACCAGGAAAAGGAGAGCGTGGGGACAGTTAAACTTTTGGTGGTCCTTGCCTTTAATGCCAGCACTCAGTTTCTCAGGAAGCTGAGGCAGGAGGATCTCTCTGAGTTTGAGGTCAGTCTGGTCTACAGAGTGAGTTCCAGGACAGCCAGGGCTATGTACTGAGACCCTGTCTCAACAAACAAAGAAAATGGTTACCGATGGGCTAGAGAGACAGTCAGCGGTAAGAGCACTCACTGTGTACACAGGAGGACAAGTGTGGACTCTAGAACCCTTTGTGGGCAGTTGAGTAAGACAATGTTTTGTTCTTGCAGAGGACCTGGTTTTCATTCCCAACACTCACGGAGTAACTCTCAACTAGTCATAGCTCCAGCTTCAGGGTATCTCTTCGGGTATCAGGTATGTATGTGGTAGATATAGGTACAAACATGCAGGCAAAACACTCATACAACAAAATAAAGAAATCTTTTTTTTAAAAAAATGGGTATGGGACTGGGTGGTGGTGGTACACATCTTTAATCCCACCACTCGGGAGGCAGAGGCAGGCGGACTCTGTGAATCTGAGGCCAGCCTGGTCTACAAAGCAAGTTCCAGGACAGGTCCCAAAACTACAAAGAAACTCTGTCTCAAAAAAACAAACAAACAAACAAAAAAAAACCCAAACAAACAAACAGAAAGAAATGGGTATGTACATAACCATAACCCTACTGTGTGTAAACAGGTAACTGCTGGAACTTGTTGACAACCAGAGACATACAGAGACATAGTAAAGCAGGTTCAGACAGAAAAACCTCCAAGCAGGTTACAGTGTGTTTAACAATGTGCACAGGCTTAAGGAAAACAAATGGGTATAAACAGCCACAGGAAAAAATAGTTAAAAAATGACAAAGTCTTCAAAGAAAGAGAAATGTAATTTTTAAAAAATGAGCCATTAAGGAAAGAAAATACACAGGGAGTCTGGATCCTACATGGTGTCTTGTTAACTCTGAATTTTTTAAATGCTAATGAACGAAAAACAATAGCTTCTGAGAGATACTGGATTATAGAAACTACTAAGTTAAACTAACCTATAAATTTTTAAAGTCAATGTGTTGTGTTGGGGTAGAGGTTATGCTTTTGTTTCCACAGGGAACAAAAGGCTGTGTGGATTTCTTCCTGATAATAGAGATCAGATTTGACAGGAGAAGACTTCCTTCCAAGAATATCTTGGCTACAGATATGGGAGAGGGGAGAAGCCCAAAGGACTACAGGACAGGTGACATGTAAGCTCTTCCCTTGGCACGGGAACAGCTCTGAGACCGGACAAGACATGATAAATCTTGTTGACTACAGAGTCCTCGGGACTTATTATTACATGCCATCTTTTCATATGGCATAGATAGAGATTTATATTACAGTTTGATTATACAGTCCAAACATAAAGTTCACAGATGCCTTTAACTGATTTGTACACACCACACGTTCCATACTTGTGTTACTGTAGATATGTATGCTACTTTTTTTTTTTTTTTTTAGGTTTTTAGGTTTTTCAAGACAAAGTATCTCTGTAGCTTTGGAGCCTGTCCTGAAACTAGCTCTTGTAGACCAGGCTGGCCTCGAACTCACAGAGATCTGCCTGCCTCTGCCTCCCGGTGATGGGATTAAAGGTGTGAGCCACCACCACCGGGCTGTATGCTACTTTTGAAAGTTTATGTGTTTTTAGTGCAGGGGAACAGACACAGGTGGCCCAGGTGATCCATCCTCTCAGTGTCTCTGTTGTACTTTTCTCAGAGTTCTGTATCCAGAACAGCTTCAAGGCTGCTGGTTGAGATGGTCCAGTCTCACAGACTACTCTAGCCAAGACTTCAGATAAGCCTTGCACTTTACCATTGCACAGAGACTGGACAACAAATAATAGAACAGTTAACTCTCCTAGGACTGAACCATTATCCCATTCTTCCCAGGGTCTAAAGATGCCAGCACCCCAGACAGACAATAAGAAGCAGTCTAGAGAAAACAATGTCCACATTCCTAAGAGGTGGAGTATTGGTCATTTGATGGGTTACAGATGTCTGTCATCCTTTAGGGAGGTTGGTTACAAGTTGTTATTTAGCATAGTAAGGAAAAAAGCTAAACAAAGGAGTTAGACTTAAGGATCTCTTTTCTGAAGGAAAAAGGGAGGATACATTATAAAAATATTATATGGATTATCGAGTCTACTTTTAAGCAAGCATTAGTATCAAATATTTTACACTGGTATAGAGTTTTGCATATCGATACAAATTTTAAGGTATTTTTGTTATACTGTATGCATGTTTCTATTCTTGGAGTTTTTTTGTTTTTTATTTGTTTGTTCTTTTTAGTTAGCTTGTTTGTTTGTTTTTTGAGTCAGGGTTTCTTTGTGAGTTTTGGGGCCTGTTCTGGAACTCACTCTGTAGACCAGGCTGTCTATTCTTGTTTAAGGTATTATACCTATGCAGTTCACTGAATAAGGTTACGTAAAATTTTAGTCTTTGAAAGCTATTTAGGAAAAGAAATACAGGTTAATAGTTATAACTATCAAACAAAGTCATGTAAGGTATGTTTTCAAGGTCAAATAGAGATACATTTTAGATAGACAGGTCATCTTCAAACACTTCAAAGACCTCCAGAATATGACATTTAAAATGTTTTAATGGGCTGGAGAGATGGCTCAGAGCTTAAGAGCACTGGCTACTCTTCCAGAGGTTCTGAGTTCAGTTCCCAGCAACCACATGGTGGCTCACAACCATCTGTAATGAGATCTGGTGCCCTCTTCTGGCATGCAGGTAAAGCATTGTATATATAATAAATAAATATATTTTTAAAAACTAAAATGTTTTAATAACAAAGCTTTACATGACAATGAGATACATATGCTTCTAGCAGCACCAATTTACTTCAAAAAGGATAATGGGCACTGAAGACCCTCCATATGGAGTTTGCTTTTGTGTGTGTGTGGATAATGGGCACTGAAGACCCTCCATATGGAGTTTGCTTTTGTGTGTGTGTGGATAATGGGCACTGAAGATCCTCCATATGGAGTTTGCTTTTGTGTGTGTGTGGCAAAGTCAGCTACTGGGCAAGAAACTGCCCTTGCCTCAAATGTTGACAGTATGCTGTGCAAATTGAACAAACAGGATACAAAAGGTGACTGCCAAAGTTTGCCAAGACAAGGTAGGGTAGTCCTTCAAAATTCCTGCTTCTCAAAATAGTCTGTCAGATATTCTAGGCCTCTAGGCCAAAAATGGATACCACAACATTGCAGAGGAACTCTGGGGTGACTGAACAGGCAGCCAGATGTCTCTGTCATTTCTTTCAGTGTTGGAAGTTGTTTGCAGAGCACTTCCTGTTTACTAAGGTAATATCATATCCTTCTGGGGTCTTTGATGGAGTTGAAGACTAGACAGTCTTAGTTATAAATTTCCTTAGTTATAATAGAAGGTAAATTAGGTACAGAGCTTTGGACTCATCAAGATAAAATAAATAATGAAATATTTTCTTCAACTATGCCAAATACAAATAGACTGGATACCATAAATATAATTCTTACCTGATAATTGTTCTTAGTATTTATAGTTTCGTTATGCTAGAGTTTAAAAAAAAAAAAAACAAAAAACCTTTCCTTTCTATTTAGACAAAAGGGAGGAAATGTTGTGGAACAATCTTTTTGTACAATAGATTTGTCACTAGGATTGGTTTTGTGAAAAGCTGACAGCTAATAGTCAGGATTTTGGGGGCAGAGAGGATGCAGGGGAGTAGGGCAGAGACACAGAGAGTCAACAGCCAGAGATACAGAAGAAGCAGGATATGCAGATGAGGTAACAAGCCATGAGCCACATGGCAGCATGTAAATAAATGGAAATGGGTTAAGTTATAATCACAAAAATTAATAGAAATGGGTTCATTTAAGTTATAAGGGCTAGTTAAAAATAAGCCTAAGCTATTAGCAGAGCTTTCATAGTTAATAAAAGTCTCCATGTCAGGATTTGGGAGCTAACAGGAGGGACAGAAAAATTCACCTACAAGATCAGTGTCTGATGTCAAATGAGGGGCCTCTATTTTATTTATGTAAATCCCAAATTTTTGTTTTGTTTTGTTTTTCGAGACAAGGTTTTCTGTGTCTTTGGAGCTTGTCCTGGAACTTGCTCTGTAGACCAGGCTGGCCTCAAACTCACAGAGATCCACCCGCCTCTGCCTCCCAAGTGCTTGAATCAAAGGCGTGTACCAACACCACCACCCAGCTAAATCCCAATTTTTTAACTAAATGATTAGCTCAGGTCATGAGCAATATTTTCTGGCCCCACCAACAAAGATGTCATGTGATTTGCTCACAACGCACCAACTGAACTCTTTATATTGCTAAAGTAGTCACTAAATTTTTGTAATATTATTACAAAGAAAATGAACAATCATTATCCACAAACCCTTGACAAATACCTTCTTTATAAAAACACTGAGCCAGCTTTTGATGAGGTGAGCAGAAGTAACAGAGTCACCTCCAGAAGCACTTAGCACAAGAAAAGCATCACACAGGTCAATCCTCAGAAGAGAGTGAATACAAAAGCTTTGCAGGGCAGTGCTCAGGAGACAGAAACAGGAGTTCAATACAAGGTCAGCCAAGGTTATATCTACAACAAGCAAACAAACAAAAAGCACTATTTCTAGCTATTGGCTGAGAAGCACAGCAGGACTCTGGGTGTGTGGTCCACTGTTATAAGATGAAATTGCATTGGATACTCTCTAAGATCCCTTTCAGTTCTATTATAATAAACTGTACTCATCAGTGAATGGGAAAGACAGGGAAACAAATTTAGCAAGAAAGTCTCAAAATTAACTTTGTTCAAACAATATAATCCATTTCTTCCCAAACTGAACTAACTTTGCCTAACTACACCTAATTATAGCATAGTAAAATTAAATAGAAACACTGGCACAGACAGGAAGAAAGGCAAACCGCTACACACCCACAAAAGAACACAAAAGGGAAGCTTACGTGTGTCTTTCATATCTGAGCGTTTCTCGGATGGACCATGCAACCTGGTACGGCGAGGCCTGATCTGAGTCCTCCGGCTCTTCTCCGCTCTCTTCAGACCAGTCCAACCCTGCAGCAGACAGCGGGAAGGAAGACTGCTGAGACGGCTCATCAACCACAAGGCACTCACTGCCAAGTCTGACCACCTGAGTTTGCGTCCAGGGACCCACACGACGGGAGAGCAGCAGCTCCCACACGCTGGCCTCAGACCTCCACACTGCCACCATCAAAAATACACAATGAAACTGAAAAACAGTAAAACCCTGACAAAAACACTGTCTAAAGCCCAGCAGTGGTGGCACATGTCTTTAATGCCAGCACTTGGGAGGCAGAGGCAGGTGGATCTCTGTGAGTTCGAGGCCAGCTTGGTCTATAGAGTGAGTTCCAGGACAACCACAGCTACACAGAGAAACCCTGTCTTGGAAAAAAAAAAGTGTAAACTACATAAAGCCCTCCAAATGAATTTCCCTTCTATTCTTATTCTTACAAAGATGTATGACGAAACCCACTCAGCTTTAACAACATGCCATTTTAACAGTATGGCTGTGCTGGACGCCAACAATAGACTTCATTATATGCTTTGTTAATCATCTGGAAACAGCACAAGCAAAAGAAACCAAATTCCCAGTACATAAAGGGTAAAATTATTCAAATATCAAAATGCCATACATTAAATTTAAAAACTGTCATCATTAAAACAATATTTTTAAAAAATATTTTTAAAACAATATTTTTAACAAAGAAAAGACCATCAAGGTCAAAGGTGGCAGTACAGCTAATTGGGACAACACCTGACAAGAATATATAAAGTACTGGGTTCAATTCCCAACACAACCTAAAACCAAGTATGCTGGCACATGCCTGTGATCCCAGCCCTTGAAAGATGGAAGAAAGGCGGGCCAGAGTTCAGCTCTCAGAAGCACAACAGTAAAAAGGACAAGGAAAGCCAGACGGTGGCTCATGCCTTTCACCTCAGCATCTGGAAGGGAGAGGCAGACAGAGAGGCAGGTGTGTATCTCTGTGGGTATGAGGCCAGCCTGATCTCGTGTTCACTTCCAGGTCAGCCAGGGCTACATGATCAAAGACTCTAACTCAAGAAACAAGAGGAGTAGTGAGAAAGTAATTTATATGTTCAGTCAAGAAAAAGTGTCAATGGAGTCACGCAGCAAAAGTGGCCCTGGGCAACATGAAGACAGGTGTGTTTCTCCACTGTAGCAAAACTTGATCTTGGCCTCACTATCTCCTGTTCTAACAGCTAACTGAAAGAAGCAGCCCAGATCGCCAGGAATATGAATCCCAGTCTGGCTTTCTCTAGAAGTGCAGACGTGGAAGGCGGCCAGAGTGCATCACAATCTCTCTCCCTAGTCTTAGGTCACAAAAAAGGAAGCCAGTTGGCAGTGGCATGCACCTTTAATCTCAGTACTCAGGAGGCAGAAACACACTGTTCTTTGAGTTGGAGACCAGCATGGTCTAGAGAGAGTTCTGGGACAGCTAGGGCAGTTACAGAGAAATCCTATCCCAAAACAACAACAAAATAAGCAAACAAACAACAAAAAAATTAGATTATTTTTGGTAAACTTTATTTTAAAAAATGAAGAAAAATGAGTCAGGCAGGCACAGTAGTGCAGTCATTCACGGGGCCCTTGAAAGCAACAAACAAAAAAATCAGGAACTGGCAGCTCATCAGGGTACTTGCAGTCAAGGCTAAGGACCAGAATTCAATCCTTGGAAAGAACAAACTGTCTGACCTCAGTGCATGCTCCACGACTCTCATACATGCGCAAACACACACACACACACACACACACACACACACACACACACAATAAAGGCATCCAAAAAAGAGTCTTACAGATATTTGAAAACAAGTAACAGTGAGGAGGGAGGGGAGGCTTTACAAAAATAATAACTGTTTAAATAGTTCTAGTTATCAGTAAAAGCTTCAATATAAAAAATGGATGAAAAGGTAGAAATAAATACAAAATAAATACTGGTTCATAAAACATGTAGACAAATATTCAACTATATTATTAAATATTGTCTGTCAATGTCTCAGGACATTTGTGTGTCCAAGCATGACTGAGACACTGCGTGCACTCACACCCGGGTGACGCACACAACAATGGCAGCTGCCGCTTCTTCACCAGGAATCCAGGCAGCGGCACCAAACTCAGACCGTCACCAGGTTCTTCACAGGCGCCTCTCGGCATTGGAAAGGCACACAAATGGCAGGGGTACAGGGAGTTTTACGTACAAGTGCTCTTACCTGTTAAAAATTATCTACTTTATTACATCTCAACCCCAAGTTCTGTCTAGCATACTGTGTGACTAAGCATGAAATATCCATGAAGCGCCTCTGCTGTGTGAGGAGAGACTGAGGACCGTTTTAGCTGCAGCCTGGATAACCAGCTTTGGTTTCACTGAGGTTAGTTTTAGTTTAGATTATCTTAGTTTTAGTTTAGACTTCCTTAGTTTTGAGATAAAGTCTCCTGTAGCCTTGGCTGTCCATTAAGGTAAAAGATGACCTTAAACTTCTGATGTTCCTGTCCACCTCCTACACCAGGTTTGTGCAGCTCTGGGGAACGTGGTTCCTGTGGGCACCCAGCAGATGAGCTATGTCCACAGCCCTCAATGCCTTTCACTGATGTGTGTGACAGAATGACAGAGCAGAGTGCAGGAGGAAGACATCCTCGGCTTCCACACTCACATGTGCACATATGATCTTGCATGTACGTGTACACACACATATATATACTTACTACACAGAAAAAGGAAGAGGGCCGGCGAGACGGCTCAGGGGTTAAAGATCCTCATGGAACAAGCCGGGCCCAGCGCCATCTCTGGAACCCAGGTGAAGGCAGGAGAGAACTAACAAAGCTGTCCTCTGACCTCACACATGCACCACACCACAGGCTCCGGCCCCTGCCCTCCATACCATTCACGCAACTCTAGTTTTCATTATACAGTTTAAGGGAAAATTAAAGATGTGATACTAATTTGCTGCGAATCTATGAATCTACAATAGTTTAAAGTAATACAAACTGGAAAGAATTTAAATTCAGCCATGACAAATCATGCTATATATGAAAAAAATATTAACTTGAAAATACATTATGCAAGATTTTTAAAAAGGTTCTGATTAAGTATGTATAAAAGGAACTCAATTTCACCTACTTTATAGAATTTACCAAGGTCATTTACAAATGGATATTTAATAGACTTGGGGATATCTTATTATTTTACTTACTATAATCCAGAAGTTTTATTCAAATAATTTAATACCAGGTAAGCAAGTTAAGAGGTCTAGAAGAAAGCCCACCACTCTCATTTACAATAAAACCTCCCACCCCAATCCATTCCCATGGGTAGGCAATGTCAACAGCCTGGGATCTGTATTTCACCTATACAGGCAAATATCTATGCACATACATGAGCAATGGATATACTAATGCTCTTGCATACTTCCTTCTGTTTACCTAGTTCTTACAAAAGAGAACAACATAATTCCTCTTGACTTTCTTCCACCAGTAAGTCACACTAAACACAGCCCAGTCAGACTCACTCTTCACAACAGCTGTGCCACAGTGTATAAAACATATATGCACATGACTCATTCAAGTTAGCATCAAACTGCTAATTCTGTAAGCAATTATACAATAAACACTGCATATATATCCATACATTTCAATATTTACAGCTAGGGTAGAATCTCAACTTGATAACTATGTATATAAAATACTATATATATCCCATATATTACATATGTATTTGTATATGTGTAGTTTTTTGGGTTTTGACTATTTTATGGGTATGAGTGTTTTGCCTGCATGTATATCTGTGTACTATGTACATGCCTGGTGCCCATGGAGGGCAGGGAAAAGCACCAGATCATCTGTAACTGGAGTCTCAAGTAGCTGAAAGCCACAATGTGGGTATTGGGAATTGAACACAAGTTTATTTTTTAAGATTATTTTTTAAGAGTATATAAGAACTGGGTGGTTGTGGTGGTGCACACCTTTAATCCCAGCACTCAGGAGGCAGAGACAGGTGGATCTCTTGCCTGGTCTACAGAGCAAGTTCCAGGACAGGCTGCAAAGCTACACAGAGAAACCCTGTCTCAAAAAGAAGAGTATATAAGAGTATGCCACCTATCTATGGGTACCCTTGGAATCCAGAAGAGGGAACTAGAAGTGTTCTTAACTGCTGAGCCATCTCTCTGGCTCCTCGTATTGATTCTGAAACAGGGACTCACTCTAAAGCCAAGACAGGTTTTAAACTCAAGCTAATTTTCTTGCCTCAATCTCCAAAGTGCTAGACTACAGCGAGCAATCAGAAGCCCCAAACTACTTATTCTATAATTAGCTGAGAGTCACACTGTTCACCAACAATGTATAAATATCACATGTCCACCAAGAGGATTTTTCTAGTCTGGCAATCATTGTTTTATTTCCCAGCCTGCTATGGGAATTAAGGTTTCCATTGACCACTCATATTTCTTTTTTGCTTTTTCAAGATTGGGTTTCTCTAGGAAGCCCTTGTTGTCCTGGAACTCCCTCTGTAGACCAGGTTGGCCTTGAACTCTTAGAGATCAGTACGCCTCTGCACCCAAGTGCTGGAATTAAAGGAGCATGTCATCACTGCCTGGCCTGCACTTATATTCCTTCTGCTATTCATATTCTTTACTGGCAGTTCTATTGCTACCATATCAAGGAAATAAAGAATTCTTCCTATGGGTAGAATTTTAGCTCGTAACACATTCAAAACTATGTTCTTGGGGCTGAAGAGATGGCTCAGAAGTTAATAATACATACTGATCTTGCAGAAGACTTGAATTCAGTTCCCAGCAGCCAAGGAATCCAACATTCAATTCCGAACTCTGTGGGTACCTGCACTTCAGTGCAAAGAAATCCTCATACAGACAGACATATCTACAGGCAATTAAAACATATCTTTAAAAATATGTATTCTCAGGGAAAGACAGTGGAGCATGCCTTTAATCCCAGCACTCGGGAAAAAGAGGTAGGCGGATCTCTGTGAGTTCAAGACCAACCTAGTCTACAGCGTTCCAGAACAACTAAGGCTACACAGAAACCCTGTCTTGAAAAACAAGTAAAATAAAAAAATAAATAACAAAACTTTCCTCTTGCTCAATGGTAAAAGCATTTATGAAACAGTTCAACATGAATTCAATCCCCAGATTCCTCCACTTGTGCTCACAACACACAAGTGCACAGACAACACACAAGTGCACACACACAACACACAAGTGCACACACACAACACACAAGTGCACACACACAACACACAAGTGCACACACACAACACACAAAGTAAAAAGTAAAATAAGTCTTATCTTTTCTTATTTTTCAAGCATAAATATGAACTACCATGAGCACTAATATCATTTCTTCAATGATGTTTTTGGGGGACTGGGGTTCACTACAAAACCTTGACTGTCCTGGAACTCGCTAAGTAGACTAGGCTGGCCTCCAACTTGGAACAATCTTCCTGCTCTGCCTCCCAAGTGCTGAGATAACAGTCGTGTGGCACTGCCTGGCTTATTCACAAAGTCTAAAGGAAAGAACTCTGAGCAAAGATAAAGACGTTACCCACAGTAGACAGTGATACAGTGCCTGGTTCACAGATTGCAGGAAAGTCTCCTGAGGCTGAGGCAGAAACATCCTTTGAGCTAAGAACTGGTCAGTCTATGCAACACAGCAAGGCCCTCCTAAGATACCAACAACTTCAATGAACGCACAGATACTGATACACAGAGAATACAACCAAGCACAACCATTTTTTATATGTGGCTATAATAATAATGAAAGCTTTCATTATCTCCATGCTCACGAAAGCAAAGCTAATCAAACTTAGCACAGCAGAAAAGGAACTAGGTTAAGAAGAAACGGGTTCACTGGAAGAGGGAGACACAAAAAGCAATGGGGGATTAAATATAATGAGAATACATTATATGTTCATACGTAATTGTTAAAAAATCATTTTTAGAATTTCAAGAGTTTAATTTTCAAAAGTTATGACAGAAATTCTAAACGGTCAATTCAGACCTGTGTCTATTCACCAGGTATCTCCCATGCAGAAGCATGCTTTAAGTGTATGGTCTGCTGAAATGCACAACTGTGACAGACAGATGCCACACAGAATAGATAGTAAGAGAGCGGCCGACCCACCTAGGTGAGGGAACAGGTCTGCGTCCAGCTGATGCTTCTGGGCACACAGTTTCACCAGTCTCTGCAGTCGGCTTATACAGGACAAGTGTGGAGAGAAGGCGCTGGCGTTCATGAGAATTCGGTCAGTCCTGGGGGCATCTGAGATGGGAGCCCGACTGGATGGAAGGAGGGTCAGAGGCCTCTTGTTAGAGGCCTGCCTTGTTTGTGCTATAGAGTGTGTGGTGGGGGCCACTCCCTGCATTGGTAGGCTGGTGTTCTGAGGTTGAGGTGACTTGCAGACTGAGCCCTGCGGTGGCGCTGGAGGCTTTACAGAAGTGGAGAGAGGTGACAAGTGGGCTTGCTGCTGTGGAGGCGCAGGAGGGGTGCTAAAGTGCTCTTGCCGAACTTTCAAAATCTCTGTCTCTCTCTGGCGCTGCCGGTTCTGAGCCAACTTGCTCTGCAACTTCTTTTTCACGGTCGCCCCTTTCTTTAGGTCATCATCTTCCTCATTGAAAGCAAAGGGGTCTTCGAACTCAGTTTCCAGGTAGTGGAGAGGGACTCTCGACCCAGGTGGAGAGAGGGACAAGCTATCCAGTCCATTGGGCATCTTCAGGGCCAGCGTAGGCACTGTCAGGCTAAACGCCATGGCGTCCATCTGATGCCTGACCTTCACCTCATCTACCGGATCATTCTTTTTCTTCCTCTCTTTTTTCGGGATAAAGCCAAGTACCTGCAAGTGGCTGTTGCAGTACCTGCAACAGTGGACACATGTTAGAGAATGCTCTTCATCTACACATATAAATGTACATACTACAGAGTTTAAATCCTAATATACTACAGATCAGAAGGCCCAGGCCAGGTGTGGTAGCACAGGCCTCTAATCCTAGCACTTGAAAGGTGTAAGAGGAACAAGAGTTCAAAGCTAGTTTGTAGACCCAATCTCTAGAAACCACAACAACAACAACAAAAAAAAAAACAGTTATATATTGCCAGCCAGGCAGTGGTGGTGCATGTTCTTAAACCCAACACTCCAGAGGCAGAGGCGAGTGAATCTCTGAGTTTGAGGCCTGATCTACAGAGTGAGTTCCAGGGCAGCCAGGACTACATAAAGAAATCCTGTCTTCAAAAATCAACAAAACAACAAAGTTCTAGCCAGAAATATGTAGCACAGCCTGTAATACTAACACTTAGAAGAGTTAGGTAGGAGACCATAAGTCCAAAGTCCTGGGCCACACAGCAAGACACTAGCTCAAAAAATAAAATGGAAAAGCAACTCTCATTCCTCTCCAGCTGTCTCCAGCGCAGCGGCCAGCAGACAAAAGCAGGTCTGTCCCCTGGTGAGCAGCTGGACAGCAACCTGACTGTCTCACACAGCTGTGCTCGGGGCTCACAGCACACAGAGAGCTCATCCAGTCTGAAGATCACCTAAAAGTCTCTTGGGGAAAAAACATTATATTCCAAAGCTACTTCAGTTCCTGAGTTACAAAGATGGTGTAACACAACCCTGACAGGTTACACACACCAAACACACAACATACTCATACACACCAAACACACCCACACAGTTACACACACACACACACACCAAACACATGCACACACAGTCACACACACAGCACACTCACACCCAGAGTCCCACACACCAAACATACCCACACACATATCAAACACACACACAGCACACTCACACCCACTCACTCACAGCAAACATACCCACACACTCATAAACACCAAACACACATGCCCAACACAAAACACAAACACATACACATTGACACCACACACTGACACACACCACACACACATCACACCCATACACACCCACACACACAAGGGAGCAGGGACTAAGCATGGTTAGTGGAATGAGCATTTCAGTAGGCAGAGATGTAAGAACACAGACTGCCCCCTGCAGCCCAGCTGAAGTAGGCACTGAAATAAGATCCTTGATTCAGATTACTCCACTACATCTACAAAACTGAATTTGCCCACTTCCCCAGGGGAAACTGACCAAAATGGGGTTTGAAATAAAATTAAAGCTCATGATGACTTCATCAACGGGCAGACTACCTCTGTAACTTAGATACCATGAATGATACAGTCCCTGTACATAATGAGAAAACAAAGACCTGTTATACCAATTAGCCATACTGAAAATCTGTCAAGAGTTTGTGGAACAAAATATTCTCTAATCCGTATTCTTCATGTTCCCACAGCACATTAACAAGTGTGCCATCAAAATAGTACCCCACACTTAAGTTAGTTTGGAAAATTGTGGCTTAACCAAAATGACATAGTAATTTTATTGTTGCTTGTTTCTGCTGAAAAACTTCTCCAAGAATTATGTATTATGAAGCTGCAAGAGGGAGATACACCCTCCTGGAGTCTGTCAGTGCTCCCCAAAGCTATCTCTGAAGAAGGAACCCATTACTGAAGCAAGCAAGTGACATCTCTACACGGCATTGAGCAGACCCCACATATATTCTACACTAAACAGTGTCCTAAGACTGGACAGTGAGGGAAGCAGTGTTAGGAAAGACTAGTAACTAAGAAGTTAAAAAGAAGAAGAATGAAGAATACCAGTATTGGTATACCAGCCTTTAATCCAAGACTTGTGAGGGAGAGAGGCAGAAAGACCAGGAGTTCAGACTCTTTCCTCAATACAAGTAGTTCAAGCCCAGTCTGGGGGACTTGAACCACAGAATCAAAACATAACAGTCAAAGAGGGAAACACAGCAGTCACACACTAACAAGTCCAGCTACTCAGAATACCAAGGGAGGAGGACAACAAGTTTGAGGCCAGCCTGGGACACATAGCAAGAATTTTATCTCAAAATAAAAAAGGGTTAGGAGGAGCTGGAGAAATGGCTCAGTGATTAGAGCACTAGCTATTCTTCCAGAGGACCCAGGTTCAATTCCCAGCACCCACATGGCAGCTCACAGCTCTTCTGTAACTCCAGTTCCAGGGGACCAGACAAAGAATGGTAAGGTAGGATTTTATATTTTAAGTTAGAAGTCAGGGAGAAAGAGGTGTCTAGGTAGCTAAGAGTGTTCACTACTCAATCATGAGGAGCAGGGTCCAGATCCAAACACCAATGCTGAGCAGCTCACAAAAGCCTACCTAATCAATCAACCATTTCCCCAGGTAGAGTGTCAAATCTGTGTTTTGTGTATTTATTTTAAATGTTGTACAGAACAAAGCCTTCTAGTTCAGTTAGGAAAAATTGTCCCTCTTTAAGACAAACAGCTCAAGTCGGGTGGTGGTGGCCCATGCCTTTAATCCCAGCAGTCAGGAGGCAGAGGCAGGTGGATCTCTGTGCGTTTGAGGCCAGCCTGGTCTAGAGTGAGTTCCAGGACAGACAGGACTACACAAGAGAAACCCTGTCTCAAAAGACCAAAATAATAAATAAATAAATAAATAAATAAATAAATAAATAAATAAATAAATAAATAAA